CCGATCATTCAGATTAGTTGCTTATGCTTTTTATTTTTGGGGGGTCTGGGTGAATGGCCTTTTTTTTTTAGTTCATCCATAAAATGTTTATAGTGATGACCAGGCAGGGACCAATGTGCAATGAGAACTGATAGGTGCCAAAACTAGTTTAGGGTCAATCTATGCTGATCCCAATGAACCAACCGGAAGATAAACGCACACATCTATAACTCACAGATAAATCCATTAACATCAGATTTTTCATGAGGCCCTTGCTAATGAAGCTAAGCACATATTTATACATCGGCTCTGTTTAAATAAGTTAGGCTCTACATAATATGCACATTAAATGGGTTGATCCTGGTGGTATCTCTGCTGCCACCCCCTGGTTTAGAGGAGAACTGCTTGTTCCAGAGACGTTAAATTACCTCCACAAGAGAAACAACAAATCACCTGGTATTGGTGGCAGGGAGGCTTATAGAGCAGGATCTATATACGTTCAGGTTTCCCATGACTCTATTGACTGTTGTGAGAAGGACCTTTGATATGTGATGGTAGATTATTAGTTACATTTTACTTTCTCAACAACAAAAAAAGAACTTATCCTCTTAAAACATCATAAAGCAGGGACTTTCAGTGAAACAAAGGGAAAAAAGAAAGAAATTGCATACAGAAATGAAATATACAAAAAAATATATGCCTTTCATCAGAGCTCTGTGGGTCCCTTATGTTGCTCAACGCGTTACAGCCTCAAAGCGGAAGTGCTCCTAACCTAACCTTCTGCCTTTGGTTGCTATTTCATTTTAATAATACATATTTATACAAGAATGGAGGAATAGGGACCAGGTCGTCGTAATTACCTGCAAATGCAAGAATTCTGCTCAACAGCCGCGTTTCCTGTACCTGCCGGTTCGCTTGTTTTACACGGGATGCCTGGAAGCGACCGGTTTCCATAGAAACAGGGCCATATAGAAAAGCGTCGTTAAGAGACTGTCTGTGCAGAGGCGTAGCCAGAACATTTTTATGAGGGTGGCCAGGCAATAAGCAATGTACACTGAGGGGTTTCACCCAAACCTAACGGTTAATCTACACTGTTCCAACAGGAGAATTAATAAGCAAAACATCCATATTTTCTAAATAAAGTCAAACTATACTTTTCCACAGCCTTTGCTAACAAATAGACGAATATATTAGAACATCAAATGCTTTCTAGATAAAAGGTATAGTGGAAAAAACTCTTTCAGGTTTGAGTTTTAGGCAAACATCTTTTCCACTGTCATTACTTACCAACTTTTATCAGTAATGGTTCTGCATAAAATTGATGTTTACAAGTACTAATAGCTACATAAATTGATTGATACGTTTTAAATAAAATATTTATTTATCTGTGATTTCACTAAAGACTCCTCAATGATTTGCAGAGAAATTTTCTCTTTACCTCATAAAACAAAATCTGTTTCTGCTTGAATTCTGTGCTTATCATCTTTAATGTTAGTATATTGATGTGCATAATTAACCAATTTGTTTTTGTTGTCAAGTAATTGTTAATATATGAAAAAATCTTTTCACAAACTTTGAGAAATTACTTCTTTAGGTTTTCTTCTTGCTTAATTTCATTTAGCATGCATTAAGTTCATCACTAATAGCTGTCATTTGGAATAATGTTTATTGTAGTAGGATCCTTAAAAGTAGGTATATTACAAGTAGCCGGTATTCTATAAGAATAATTCTGAGATTAAAGTTAGATTAAGTAAGAATTCTGTGACTAAATTAAGAACTCTGAAAATAAAACTCGACTTCTGTGATTACATTAAAAACTCTGACAATAATGTCAGTATTCTGAGAATAATGTAAGGAGTCTGAAAATAAAGTTTTGATTCTGAATATATAGTGCCAATTCACAGCACATGTAATCTCAAGGCACTTTACAGAGACAATTCATCCAGATTACACAGTCAGATTGGTTCAAAGCAGGGCTGGGAGATTTTTTTCAGGCCAGGAGTCAGTCATGTAACCAGGCCACGCTTGTTAATAAGACATGAATAATTTCTTGGTAAAATAAAATAGGGCTGGGATCTGTTTTGCTTTCTGAGGACCCAACTAAAAAAATCAAAAAAGCTTTTATCAACCAAAAAGCACGTTTTTATTATATGTTTTAGTTCAACTTTAGCTTCTAAACACATCACAACACAAAGCAAAGACTGGATGTACAGTAGAGAACAGCCTGCATCAGCTGTTTTTCACACTGAACTATCAGAGTTCATCAAAGCAGCTCAAGTGTTTTGATGAAAATAAACTAAAACTAATTAAGTCAGTCTGACTATAACTTTTTTTTTTCGCATTTTGTTCCCAATTCATCAAGTTTAAATGTTATTATAAGGCAGTTACTCAGAAAAGCTCCAGATTTATAAATATAGGTTTATAACATGATTTTATTTTGTATTTATTTCGATTCCTTGCTAACATCCAGGCAGCATACTAATATTTTTTTTTTTAATATTTGAATAAAATAGTCTTTATTTAAGTTAAGTTCCATTTTTGGATAATCATCAATACTTTTGACTGAGAGGGGTACTCAGGTATGAAAAATTGCCCAAACCATTAAGGGAAATGAAATGGTCGACAGGATGGCTAAGGAGAGTACAAATAAGGTAAGGATAGATATTAATGTTAGTTTTAGTATAACAGAAATAAAGGGTCTAATTAAACAAAAAACAAAAAAAACAAACAAAAGAGAGGTGGCAAAAGTTATGGGAAGAAGAAAAGAAAGGAAGGCGGATCTATAAAATCCAAAAGAGAATTGGACAAATGAGAAGAACAGAAAGGAACAGGAGAGAATAGATAATTACTTCACGACTTAGGAAAGGACACACAGGATTGAATAGGTCGTTATTTTTAATAGGGAAACTTCAGACAGGGAAATGTGACTGTGGGGAGGATGAGACGGTGGAACATGTCATTTTGAGTTGTAGAAAATATTTGATTCAGAGAAACAAGTTAATTAGGAAACTTAGTAATATGAAAATGAATCTTGACATTGTTGATTTACTACAAACTGAATCAGGAAGCAGAGGATATCAGGTTATATTTTAGGTTCTTGAAACAGATTAAATTGTATAACAGAATATTGATTTTTTATTTTATTTTTTTGTCATGTGGTCCACACTCCTTACCAGTTGGTGGCGCTAATGCTCACCTAACGTTTTTGCCAACCGCCAAAAAAAAATATAGAAGAAGAAGAAGAAGCAAAGGGGAAGAAGAAGAAAGTAGCTGCATTAAGCTTACTGTCAACCACGGTTCTTCTCTGAGCTACTACGTGGAGATTCATTGGAAGTTCTGGGCGGTTCTGACCGGCTTCGGTGGTTGGACTCGGGATGGACAGTGAAATCCAGCGGGACGGACGAGTTCTGGATCTCACCGATGATGCCTGGAGGGAAGACAGACTGCCGTATGAAGATGTCTCCATTCCTCTGGTAAACAGCTGCTTTACTGATGTCCTCAGTGGGTTAAACTGGGCTCCTAAATGCCTGGGTGTTCTGGATCAGACCTAGGTACCGAATAGAAAGGAGAAAATATGGATTTTTATATGGAGCTTTATAGCAGCAGTCAGGTTTAACTGTTATTGGTTCATGCAGTGAGCCCATTTGCTCCAGTAAAACTGATGAGCTGCAAACCGATCATAATGTAACATAAGCTGTTAATAGGAATTAAACATCAGCAGTGGTGCTGAGGATCATCCATGTTCTCATATAAAGACCTCTTTGTTTTTGTTGTGTTCCAGAGCGAGCTGCCGGAGGCTGAGCAGGACAATGGAGGCTCAACCGAGTCTGTTAAAGAGCAGGAGATGAAGTGGACCGACCTGGCTCTGCAGAGCCTGCATGAAAATACTCCAAGTTCAGGAAGCTGATAAACCGATCCAGAACTGCACTAGCACAGAGAGGGGGTAGTTTTCTCTGTGAGAACAAATACATCTATATGTCCTTCATCTTTCTGTAGCATGGTCACATTTTGGGGAGTTTATTTCTACATTTAATGCCCTCATGTAAACGGCTGCTTACATGTCCTTCGTGGTTTCAACCACTAGGGGTCACTGTAGACTCAACCTTCCTGCAGAGCCGATGCCCTGCAGCTTTTAGATGTGTCCCATATTCACACAAATCAGACTGCTGAAGCTCCTCACCCGGACCTTCTCTGTGCAGGGCATCATAAGGGCTTCATCAGTGGGATGGAGATCCAAGGCTGACCACTGTGTAAGGGTGGGTGGGGTGCCTCAGGTCTTCATCGTAACACCTCTTTTTCTAGCTTGTCTTCTGTTCTTCCGTTTAATCGGACCATTCTAGCAGGTTGCCCTTGTTTATTTGTCTGGAAGGACTTTCATCTTGGAAGAGGACTTTGGAAACCTCTAAAAATCAGCTGATTGGACATCAAGAGGTTCCCATCTTGAACTGTTTACAGCATCTTCATTTTACGAGACACTGAATTTTGTGTTTTCTTTCTTTGTTATACGTAAAATAAAAGCTCCAAATATTTCTCATTGTGTGATGAATCTTTCTGACATAAGATTGAACATATGGGTCTTTTCTCTGGTCCAGTAATCCTTTCAGAGGTTGCTGTCATGTCATCTATGGACTAGTTTGTGTTGGTGCCTTGACTCTGGGTGGGTTACTGTTTGTCTTGCAGACATCTGGTTTGTTTTTTTTTTTCTTTTCTATTAGACAGTGGAGAAAAGGATTATGCATCAGAAAAAACGAAGTCATTGACATCCCGTCAATCTGAAAAAGGTTACAGATCCATTTCTAAGGCTTTGGACACCTGAGAACTAGAGTCCACACCTTCCCAATAGAAACTGATTTACCAACATCAGTCAACAACGACTCATCCAGGTGGTTGGAGATGAACTGGGAACAACATCTAAGTTAAGGTCAAATTCATGATTTAGCAATAAGGGATAGAGAGTGGACAGAAATGACCCACGGTTGAGATGTTGGCCTGACTTTCTGACAGCTCCCTCCTAGAAAACCCTGCGGTCTGTCAGCAAAGCAGACCAGGTCCAGTTTGGGTTGTCAATGGTTTTTCATATGGAACCGACTTGGTTTTGATCATTGTCTTAAATAAAACCATTAGTTGAAAACTAGTGTTGCACCGATACCGATACTGCAGTAAAATGGTGGTATTTGTATCGGCGAGTATCAACAAAATAGGGCATCGATACCATTTTGAGAGCCGAAGTTTATTCAACTATTTTCACCCATTCCAGGTAGGCAATAAAAAGTTCTACTGGATTCACTTTGTATTAGTCTTTTTCCTGCTTCACAAAGATAGGCAGCAGCTTGATAAAGCCATGATAGCAATAATTTTACATCAAAGTAGTATGCAGTTCTTCATATATACACACACACATCAATTTGAAACAGATGGTATTGGTATCGGTCAATTCTGCACAGACAGGTATCGGGGCAAAAAAATGGTATCTCACTATTGAAAACAAATTTTTGTTTTACTGATATTTGTTGATCATTTGAATCATTTTCTGTGACGAGAGAAAATGTTTAGATTATATTAGATTAGATTCAACTTTATTGTCATTACACACGTACAGGTACAAGGTAACAAAATGCAGTTTGGGTCTAACCAGAAGTGCAATAGCAGCAAGTGCAGGATAAATAATGGCTTCATAAATATAGCACATTGGTTTCTCCTGAATGGGTATAGAGATGAATACCATTATAAATAATGAATATAATATATAGATCACTAGTGTTATGAACTAAATTTACAACTGGATATGTACCCAATATAATATACAGGTGGATATTACTATAAAAAGGGTTTTTACAGTTATGTGCAATAGCATATATACTGATGGGTTTTACTATAAAATGAATGAATAAAGTTTGGACAGAAGCTATCTAAATTAAAGTGCAGTGAAAGGTAATTGCATATTACAGTTAAAGTACGTTATTGCAACTGTATATGTAAACAATTGGTACTGTGAATAAACAGTCGGCAGTGCAAACCAATATTCAGTCAAAGTGAATAGTGCAAGATGCAAATGTTAACATTTTGAATAAATCTGTGAACTCGCCAAGTAATTGGATTGATTTCAGTTTATTTCAGCCAAAGATCTGCACATGTGATTTAGTGAAAACAGCTGTATCTTAGAGAAACTGGACAGTTTTCTGAAGGGAAGACAACTCAAGAATGAAGCCTCTTCTGGCTGAAATCTCCCAGAATAATCACATAGTAAACAAGATCACTGAGCCCATAGATAGTCATGGTGGTGGCATCGTCATGCTGCGGGATTACTTTCATTCAGAGTGAAGCTGAGGTTTTTCTTAAGGTGGATGGAGTGTTGAACAGTTTTAAATACCGCTAGGTCTGAACCTGAAACCTACAACGGTCAGTTGTCTCAGAATGAGTTCAAGCAAAGATTCAAAGAAACTTTAGAGGGATTTCATCTTGGGAGGAAAAAGAAACTGGAAGATCTCTGAGGCGTTCTCCCAGAGTCTGAAGGATATGGAGAAGTACATGCAATCAAGATGTGGGATAGTGTCCGAGTCATTTTAGTGGCTTTTAGTGGTAAATCTTTAACTGATTTTATTAGTTGATGTTAAATCCTCAAAATGTCCTGGAAACAGTTTGAAAATAACCATGAAATATCTTCATTTTCAAATTTCATAAAACTGTAATAATATTAACACGTTTCTCTAAACTTTCCAGGTCCACAAAATGATGAGCTAACATTAACATTTCTTTAATCTGTGACGTCATCCTAAAAAAATATAGCAACTAATATAACCAAAGAGTATTGAAATCATAGAAGTAGCCTACTTCAGATTTTTTTTTTTTCTGTCTGTTTTGGTTCAGTCCTCTGCTAATGTGTCTTGTCATGCTTCGTGTTTTACTTTCCTTCATCATGTCCTGCAATGACTCAGCTCATCCCAAACAAAAAAGAGCCCGAAATGTGTGACAATGGTGCCTTTAAGGGCAACACGAGCTTCCAAAGCTTTAAATAAATTGAAAATTATCAAAAGTAAATATGTATAAGAAAGGGTACTGATATTTTGCGCAAATATAAACGTGTTCTCGGTCACCTATTCCAGAAATGTAGCAGTATTTTTTGTTCAAAATCTTTGAAATTAAAAGTTTATTTTCCAGTAGTTTTAAACGGTGTAAACTTCCTGGTGACGAACAATGAGACGTTTATTGTAAAATAAATAAATACATTTTGACGTTTTAATGACTAACTAGATTTAAGTAATCATTTTGGTGCACAGTGGGACTGACGTGGATTCTTCACGTCTCTTTTGCGCTCGACACCCTCTGGCTGTTCCTCATCCCACAGCACACGGTGCGTAAATGCATCACAGGAAACGGCTGCAGGACGCCGAGTGCAGAGCGGTGAGCCCAGAGGATGGGCGCTGCCTGCCCCGTGTGCACAGAGCTGGACAGCATCTGGTCACATGTCCATCCACTGAACCGTCTGGAAAAATATGAATAACATCATTTTAATCTTATATTTAATAAACATGATGACCACATAGATCTTTTTTATTAGCTGTGTTTTTTCTTCTTAAAAAGAAGACTGTTAAACTTATGTTTGTATTTTTTATATGTTTTTACGAATTAAAATGTAGAAATAGCAAAAATGATGCATCATCATAAGTTCATCTATCTGTTATAAGGAAGTTGCTCAAACGCTTTACAATGCTTGTACAATGTTGGATTTCCCTGTATCTATTTTTCTATATTAATTTTGTTCATCCCTTTGATCACATTCCTTATAGAGTAATTCCGTGGTTAGAAAATAAACAATAATCCCATATGTGTACTTTTCATGAAAATGCAGTGAGAAATGAAACATCAATTTGTTTCAGTGTTTCCAAAAACCTTAAAAAACCTATGCTTATGTTAATTTGGGCGTTATTGTGATATTTAATATCAAGTAATTATCATATCATAACCACATATGATAAGAACTTGCAGCCCTTTGATGTTCCAGAAAACAGAACACACAGTATTGTTATGTAATGTTCAGAAAGCAAACTGTCCCTTCATGAGAGACCTGCTTGTTTGTCGCAGCCGTGTGCAAACCGCTCTGAGCGTGCGCATTGTGGTGCGTGACTTTGCACGCGGCTCTGTTGACGTCCTGGCTCTATAAAAGCGCAACCCCTGAATCTCAGAATCATTACAGCTGATCGATCTCTGAGGACCAAACGAGAAACCAGCTAACCCACCTACAAATCAAACAACATGGATCCCTGCGACTGCTCCAAGAGTGAGTCCCTGATTCTGGGTTTCGGTTCTAAATGATGTCTAATTTGTTGGTTGTCATGTTTTACCACATCACCAGCATTTAAATTTTTTTTTCTTTTATCTGCAGCTGGAAAATGCAACTGCGGAGGCTCTTGTACCTGCACCAACTGCTCCTGCAAATGCTGCAAGAAGAGTAAGTGAATTTATTTGTTGTATTAAAATTCTAGCCTGTTCTTCAGGCCTCACAGGTGCCTGTAATCAGTGTTGGATGAAGTACTCAACAGTAGTATTTGAGTGAAAGTATTGATACTTGGTTAAATCTGAATCAACTCTAGTTACTTGCTCAAACATCAATTAAAGTATTGAAGTACTCAAAAATACAACATAATTTTTTTTTTTTGATGTTACATTTCTTTGTAATTTTAAAGAACCTTGTAACCTTCAGAAACCCCTGATGTATTGACGTATAGAACAACCTACTAATTCTACACCACCTGTAAAATGACTGCTATTTTGATTATATCTTTAATGTGTATTGATTCTCATATTTTCACTATGGAATGGAGGTTTAAGGTTAAGTCTACTACCACAAAGTAACTGCAATTTTGATTTGAGAACTAATCGCACTAAACAACTTTGCCACATGGCAAAAACTCATGTATTAAGAATGTTTGTAAACTACAAATGTCTACCTTGAGTTTTTTTTCTCACAGATGTGAGATGTGCATTTCTAAAAAAGAAACCGCAGCAGTGCAATACAAAGCTACACTGAGGCAAAAGTAATGAGTAACTAGCAGCTTCCTATAAATTCAGTGGAGTGAAAGTTATAAGTACCCCCACCCCAAAAAAAATACTCAAAGTACTTAAGAAGTTGTGTTACTTTCCATCACTGTCTGTAATTGGTACTTAAACCTTGACATGTTTATCCTGATTTTTGAATTCTGATGCTTCCTAGTGTAAAGATTTGTCCTAATTAACTTTTTCTTGCAGGCTGCTGTTCATGCTGCCCATCAGGCTGCAGTAAATGCGCCTCTGGATGCGTGTGCAAAGGAAATTCCTGTGACAAGAGCTGCTGTCAGTGAGGAGCCAAACCCATCAACCCCTTATTTCCTGTGCTGAGGAGCCTTTCTAAAATCTGCCATATTCCAGATTTGTAGGGAATGCATTTTTGTACTTGAATTTCAATAAATATTAATGTAAAATTTACCAGTGGGTTGGTTTTGTTTTTGAAAGGTCATGGTTGAATTTGACCACAGGGATTACTTGTGTAAACTTAATCCTGTTCATCTAGGAATGGCCTCCTTTCAGACAAGGAGGCTTTAGTTTTAACTATGAAAAAGGAAAACTGGTAAGGGTATTAAATGACTTGATCCTTGGAAAGGCCAAATAACACTGTCTCAAAGCTCTGGGGACAATTTCAATGGACAGATTGGCCTTGATTGGGTTGTCCAGTAATGAAAGCTGGGGAAATGGGAGCAGTTGAAAGTTAAGGAAGTGGCGGCAGGGCATATAGACCAGTGATCAAACCATATAACTGCTTCATGCAAGGGGGGGGGAGGCATAAGCATGCCTAACAACTGGTTTTCCTTTTGACATGTAAATTTGGATTTGCTAAAGTGTATAAACCATACCAAAACCAGGAAACTTTAGAATGTTTAAGATGGTTTCATAGTTGAACCCTGAATTTCCTTGATATGCGTGTTTTTTGTTTTTTTCCCACAGTTGAGTTCAATGGCTTAGAACTTAAACATTTAAGCTGGGAGTTTTTTTTTTTTCTTCAACTTAATTCTCAGACAGTTATGATAGATGGGATCTGTGTGATGCAGACCTTAGGTCAGGAACGGGATTTATCGATGAGCAGCTGGGCCAGTAAGTAGGCCTACACCTTAACTGTATTTTAAAAGATGGAGCAATTACAGAATTTCAATAATTGCATAATTATTGAATGATGCAATGAACATGTAGGAACGAATGTCTTTATGGCATCTTATTGAACTCTGCTCAAAATACAAATGTATAATACCTCTAGGAAAAGAACAGGGTAGTCAAATCTGGAAAAATAAGACTACTTGGCCAGGCATCTTTCACCCTATCGATATGAATTTAATTTTACCCTTTTGTGTGAATTGATGTAAAAATATTAATCCAATCTGAAGAGGCCCTGCAATGGTGTTTTAGTATTCTTTTGAATTTCACATCTATTTCTTACACATGGTGTACATGTAACATATTTGTCATTGATAGCTTGTGAATATAATCGCTTTAATATACAAACTCCAACGTCGGAACCAAATACAGAGCGCTAGTTTCAGTCAGGAACTCTGGAAGTGACAAACACCGGAAGTGGTGTCTTTCCAGCATAAACGTTTCGGCTTTAGCTTCGGTAGCAGCGTTGTTTCTGATTGTGGTTCTAGTGTGACCGGTTCTGATTGATCCCAGCGGGTTTAGGGCTGCTGAGGACCAGCGGACATCATGCCTAAAGTGGTCTCCAGGAGCGTGGTGTGTTCTGACACCAGAGACAGGGAAGAGTATGACGACGGAGAGAAGCCCCTTCATGTTTACTACTGCCTCTGCGGACAGATGGTTCTGGTTCTGGATTGCCAGCTGGAGAAGCTGCCGATGAGGCCCCGGGACCGGGCCAGAGTCATCGACGCAGCCAAACACGCGCACAAGTTCTGCAACGTGGAGGAAGACGAGCAGGCCTTCATCAAGAGGCCAGAGGGCATCGAGCGGCAGCACCGCAAGAAGTGCGGCAAGTGCGGGCTGCTGCTCTTCTACCAACACCAGGACAAGAACAGCCCGGCCACCTTCATCGTAGACGGAGCCGTGGTGAAGTTCGGACAGGGCTTCGGTAACACCAGCGTTTACAGCCAGAAGCAGCCGGAGGCTCCCAAGAAGGTCCGGGTGATGATGACCAAGAGGACCAAAGACATGGGGAAGTTCAGCTCTGTCACCGTGTCCACCATCGACGAGGAGGAAGAGGAGATCGAAGCCCGGGAGGTGGCCGACTCCTACGCCCAGAACGCGAAGGTGATCGAGAAGCAGCTGGAGAGGAAGGGCATGAGCAAGAGGAGGCTACAGGAGCTGGCTGAGCTGGAGGCCAAGAAGGCCAAGATGAAGGGAACGCTGATAGATAACCAGTTCAAGTAGACTGGGTCTGTTCTATAGACCGACTCATCTGATTGATGCTTTCTGAGGATAGAGGGTGATGGAGATGCAGCCTCCTGTATCAGACATGCTCACCGATGAGGTGTTCAAAGACTCAATAGATTTGTTTATGATGCCTTTCATGAAAGGGCTTTCTAGGAGAAATGACTCGTTTTGACCTCTGGCTGATGGAATATACATCAGTAGTTTGTAACTTTGTTTTCTACAAAAATAAAACTATATAAAGCCATTGTTTTCATAAAGTCATGGTCATACTGCTGTGTTGTCCATGTTATGTTCATATTTGAAATGTGCCTCTAAACATGTTAAATTATCATTATCCATGAGTTAGAAGTTATTTTGGTCTGTCACCAGTAATAGTTTGATTTAAAAGCTGATAACTACATGATTCATTACAGACCTCACCTAATAGAATAGAAGGGGGAGTGGCGGCCCACTCCCACAGACTGCCACTCTGGGTCCCTGAGCAAAGACCCTTACTCCCACACACTCCCTGGGCGCCCCACGATGGCAGCCCACTGCTTCCCAAGGGGATAAGTTAAATGCAGAGGTACATTTCTCTCAATTAACTTCAATTATTATTATTAGCGTTTTCCTTAGATTATACAAGTGTTCAATACAACGAAACTAGTTTAAAATGCTCCACAATTGAACAAACAATACAGGTCAGTTCTAGCAGGAATTTGAATCTATAATCAAAGTTGAAATTTAAAGAGAATAGAAAAAAAGAACAGTAGAGCTACTAACAAAAGGCAGTGAGGGACTGATTGTATCTTTTTAATACAGAAATAAAATGAGACGGTACGTATTCACAATGTAACCATCGTTTAGTGCAGAGCAGGGGTGGGTCAGCTATGTGACTAGATGCAACTTGCTTAATTAGCTAATTAATCTTATTTAATACAGAAAATATAAACATCTCCACTTCTGCTAAAATGACTCAAGACTGTTATGTTTTTAATATAATATTAATTTGATAACTCCTCCTCTACTTTCAACACCTGTAGTTTTCTAGCTACAAATATTTTTATCAGCTAAATGCATCTTAACCAGCCTAGTGGCAGTTTCACGTTACGTTTAGAGGAGGGGCACGTCTATTGCTACTCTCTGGGAGCTTCAGTTCAGCAAGCTACTGAAGGGAAGGGGAAATAGGCTTGTCTGGAAGAAAACATCAATGATGACTATGCAGAGGACAGTGAGGTCAAAAAACCCTCAGACATCTTTGGTTCTGTGGATGGAGAATATCTATGAACATTCTCTTTAAAGTGTACCCATCAGTTCTAGGATATAAATATGTGTACTTTGACTAGTCGGTAAAATATGAACATGCTTAGATGTGAGCCATTCATTGTATCTCAATGTTCAAAGTGATTGTGCTGCTGAATGAAGGTAAGCCTCAGGTCTTCTGAAGCCTCTAATAGGTTTCCTTCTAGGGCTTTGCTAAATTTAGCTTCATCTGTTTTCTAGCTTGAAAAAGTTCAGTCTAGGCAACTGGATGTGAAGTTTTCTAGAGGACATTTTGCCTCTCAGAAGAATAAGTCTCTTGGATGCTTTTTTAAGCATGACCTGGACGGCTGAATATCTTCACAGGTATCTGTTTTTTTACTCATTCTTGAAATTTCCCTGTTTCGTAAAAAAAAAAAAATCATCAAAACATTCTGAAAAGAAGTAAAAAAAAATGTAAACAAGTGTATTTGCCCTTAATTTGAGTAGGAAAATATGATGATTTGCCAATGGAATAAGAAATGTTTTACCCTAAAATGAAATAATTAGATTATACGCACTCAAAATAATTTTTATAATATTTTTAATAATAATATTTTTTTTCTTATTTCAGGTATAAATTGTCTCATTCAATTGGCTAAGTGTCTCACTTCAATTCAAGAAAAAAAAAAATCACTTATTTTCAGAGAAAAATTACTTAGATTTACATTCTTTGTATCGTGTATGGAAAAGGCGAAAGATTTTGTAAAAGATCTCATAAAGACAGTAGCCTACAGATAAATAAAGCATGTTTGAAGATCTTTGGTTGGTACTGTATATGGACTGATGAACATTCTATTCATCTTTTATTCACTTAAGGTTTATTTGTTGAATTTACAAATTATTCTAATGAATAAAATTGACAACAAAAGCAGTTCATGACGAAAGGCCAATACCATGAAGCAGGATTACTGGATTAGCGAGATAACTTCAGGTTTAACCCTGACTTTTAGAAGCTGGATTCATTCCTACTGAGGCTAGTTACCATGGTAACAAACCCTAGATGGCAAACCTGCTCCGGGGAGGGCTAGCTTTCAGGATGGAGCTGAATCCTAGAAAAAGCTCCACCCAGCAACCAATTAGCTGCTCGGGTAACAATAAGGTGCTGTTTCATTGAAGACCCAATTTAATTCAGAGTGCAAATATAACTTAAACGTCACACCAAAAACCAGTTAAAACAAAACATGTTCTTGACTATTTGAATAGTTTTCAATGTGTTCATTTTTATTTTTCCTCCTTTTTGACATACAACTTTTTACTATTCTTTATTTGTTTTCCCCTGTATAATATCCTCACACATCCTGGCATTCCCCTTTTTCTTGGATAATCAGAGCGCAAATCATGAGAAGATTGTTGTCATCATAATGATAGTTACTTATATGATCAATACAGGTTGCCATGTGACCCACAGGATGCTGAGCGGCTCAGGGAAAATAGTCTGTCGAGCTGTCAATCAAGCGTCCAGTGCCCTGATTCAGCAGATGAATGAATTTCTAAAATATTCTGACCACTTGACTAAACACAGTGTAAAAGAAGAAATTTATGCCATCACAGGTGAGTGGATGTCAATACCTGGATTTGTGTGAAACTTCATATTCATCACTTTATGAAAATCAGGTTGTCACATATATATGTTTACTTCACTTAAATTATATTTTCTTTCTCGTAAAATGGATTATCTGAAAAGATTATATTGATTATACTAAACTTTATACATAAACTAAGTTGCAAACAGGTCAACCAAGTAATAAAAGATAAAAATATTTTTATATGTGTGGAGTGAATGTTGTTTTATTATTGTTGAAAACAAAAATATGTTTCTTAAATAATATACGAGGAAAAACATACAAAACTGAAAATTTGGAAAACTTCGAAATCAATACCGTAATTTTCCTTTTTCTCATATTTTATTTTATTTTTTTTCAAATGTTTTCATATTTATTTTTTCAAAACTTTATTTTCAAAGTTTTAAAGAATCTATATTTTTTACTTTATTTTTTAATTGTCAGATTGATTGTCAGGAATTAAATTATTGTTTCACAGATCACATTATCTTCAATTCAAGCCTGAACCCTCTAGTAACTCAACTACGCTGCTTTAGGCCAGATAATATTTTTTTTTCTTTATTAAAATATTGTTTCTCATGTCTATGCAGACCAAAAGAAACACCCTCAAGAGTTATGAGAAGATGATCTGGAAAACGCAATTTGAAAAATCACAATTTATAAAAACTAAATCTAAAAAAAGCAATATTTGAATAATGTTATAATGTAAGATTAATACTAAATCTGTAAAAAACAAAGAAACAAAAAAACACGGATTAATAAAATAAAAAAAGTGAAAGAAATATTGAAATAGCCTAAGTAAAAATAAAATCAGAGAAATCAGAAAAGTTACTTTTGATCAAGAATTTTGGACTGCATATTTTTCACATTCCCATTTTTCAAAACGGCTTTTGTTCTTTCCAATGCAACAATAATGAAACACATTTAAATCTATGCAGTGGCTCATGTTTGAAGCTTGTATACATAAGTGACCAACAGGTGGCGACATAAGTTATGAGGCGAAAGAATAATGTTCTTCCGGTAGGGACGCTCTTTCCACCAATAAGAATTAAGCTTTGAAATACCGGGCGGAAGATGGAGTACATTTTATACTGAATAAAAAATATAAGTTCTCCAACGTTTAGGGTTTTCATTAGCCTGTGGAATACAGAGAACACCTGCTGTCACTTGCTTCCCACTACAGGTAAATATCCTCCTGCTGTCGGCAGCGGACAACAAAACAAAGTTAGCTAGCTGAGATGCTAGCATAAATGAAGCGTAGCTTCGGGCTAACAGTTAGCAAGGTAACGCGGTATTCTCTGTCTGGCAGATATATTAAATCTAATGTTATCACCATTTCTACACATTTAATTCTACTAAATAAAATATATTCATTGTTTGTTCTTGCACACTGGTGGGACGTATGATTTAGGCTAAGAACTCGGCGTTATTGGTTATTTTTATGGTAATAAGCTAACAGCACCCCAACTCTCCATGTGCGCTGAAACAGTTGCCCAGCTGTCATGTTTACATCTCAGACTTCATTCATTTAAATTTCTGCACATTTCATAATAGAGTTGCTCTTTTTAATATTTTGAAATTCTATTTTTCTTCTCAAAATGAACCGACGTGTTTTTAATTTAATTTTATTTTGGGGAAAACAGTTGATATTTAGTTTTATTTTGTATGTTATTCAACACAAACTTAAAGAGAAACTCCTCACTTAAAGGGCTCTAACGTACATTTTGACGTTCTCAAGGGAAATAAATATCAAAACAATATCTGACAAAAGTACTAATATAAAAAATATATATAATGATGTTTATTGGTTAATAAAAAAGGGCAAAATGTTGAAAAACCACTTAAAAAATGCCCAAAAGTCATTAAAACACAAGCTTAAATAAACGACCTGCCAGTTTAGTGGTGAATCAAATAAAGGTTTCCTCATTTATCACAAACAGAATTGATATTTGTACACCATTCATTGCAGAATCCTTTTTATGATACCTGGCTTTATTATTCAGATAAACTTGGTTTACCCTATATAAGAACTAAAACTTTTTACCATTATTATTAAGCATATAAAAAAGGGTGCCATCTGTTTATGCAGCGCCAGTGTTTGTTATATATGTTAAATTAAAAGTTAATAATTTGAGGACACGGCTTTAACAGATCTTTAGGTTACAGATGGGGGAGCTAGTGATCTATTGAGCAGCCCCGATGACCCATTGCAGTTGTTTTCTCTAGGTTGTGGTACAGCTGGTATAACTCAAGAGGCATCCAGAGGCCAAGAGTTTCTCTGTTGTGCATCTGTTAAAGTTAAATTTTTTTTTTAGAATCGCATAGCAACAGATTCCTTTAAGAAGACTTTTTACAATATTAAACTAGGCAAAACAAAAACATTTCCACTTGAGTTCTGGATAGAGCAGATTGACAGATTAAAATGTTTTTTTTAATAATAAATGAACATTTTTTAAATATTTGTATTAGTGTTACACCAATACCAGGATCCAGCACTAAAATGGTTTTATCGGAATCAGAAAGTACCAACAAATAGGGCACCAATACCATTTTGTGAGCCAAAAGTTTATTCAACTATTGTCACCCATTCCAGGTAGGCAATAAAAAGTTCTACTGGATTCACTTTGTATTAGTCTTTTTCCTGCTTCATAAAGATAGGCAGCAGCTTGACAAAGTTATGATGGCAATTATTTTACATCCAATGGATGGAGTTTGTTTCTTTGTAAACCAAAAACACTTTTCTTGGAGCAAAGGCCAAACAACATTAACAAGACTGACAAAAATAAAGATTAGCGGATCTAGAGGAAGGAGACAACTTACAACAATGAAAGAAATTCCTTTTCATTGGACATTATCAATGAATCTGATTATACAGATTTTAAACAATTATCTGATAATTTATTTTAAATTGATTATTCATAATTTGAATAAAATCCTTTCCCCTAGAAACAAACTTTCATGGATGATTTCCATAACACCAACTTTTTAAGTTTATGACAGATGACAAAAATAAAAGGGATATAAAAAAAAAACAAAAATAATAAATAAATGATAAATAATAAAAAAAAGACAAACATGTTAAAAAAAGATACTGCTGCTCAAGTTTCTCAACTACTGCCCCACTGATTGCTGTCTCCATTTATCAAATAGAAATATTCATGCTGTACTGACCTGAAGCAGGATTCATTCAGTCTGATTTGATGGGAGGAAATATTTGGATTCAAACTACTTAAGAAAACCTTAGCTGTGATTGCTGCAGTTAGCAAAAAACGTTTTCCCAATTATTAATACCATGATTGTTCAATAGCAGGATCAACCTCTCTGTATAACTTATAACTGTATAACTGGAAAAACTAAAAGGAAGTTTGTCATCTTGTGTTCATGCAAAACTCCAAACATGTTTGCAGGAACAACGTTTGCCAACAAATAGGAATGTTGAACTGAAAGTCTTGGTGCTGCTTGTTTTGTAAAACACACATTGGACATTCATCTCTCACTACCTGTGTTTCTCATTTCTAAATGTTTTCTCCTGTGTAAAGATATGGATGCAGAAGGATTTGGGGAACTTCTGCAGCAGGCAGAGCAGCTGGCAGCGGAAACCGAAGCTGTGTCGGAACTGCCGCATGTTGAAAGGAACCTTCAGGAGATCCAGCAGGCTGGTGAGCGTCTTCGATCCCGCACGCTGACCCGAACCTCCCAAGATGCAGCGGATGTAAAAGCGTAAGTGGGGAATTCATTGGTATTTAAATTCTGTTCCTTCCTGATTAGGACCTATAGAGCAGGGGTGTCAAACTGGTTCCAGAAAGGGCCGTGTGGCTGCAGGTTTTCTTTCCAACCAAACAATAGCATACCAAACTCCATTCATCTCATCAAGTCATCATGTTAAAACTGGACTCACTTTATGAGATGAATGGAGTCTGGTGTGCTATTGCTTGGTTGGCAAGAAAACCTGCATCCACACGGCCCTTTCTGGAACCAGTTTGACATCCCTGCTATAGAACCTAGGCGACAAATCCTTTTAGAAAGCTGAAATGTCGTATAACAGTAATATCATATTGCATGAGTTCATAATAACATTAGATGCAATTAGTGGTTTCTGTACAGATGACACTAGTTATTGCTATCTTTGTGCGATCTCTAGTGGTTTTCACGAGTAATTGCATCTCAGTTTTCTGTGTTTTTATTTTTATGTTTTTCTGACCGTTTTTTTCCCCTTCAATTTGTTCTTCTGACAGGTCCATCCTTCTCGGTTCCAGAGGTCTGGATATCTTTCATATTTCTCAGAGATTGGAAAGTCTAAGTGCTGCCACCACCTTTGAGCCCCTGGAACCAGTCAAAGACACTGATATTCAGGTAGGAATCTACCATATTCCCCCAATCACACTCACGTCCTGGCTGGAAGGCAGCTTTTGGCTATTTTTCCGTCCCAGCAGCACATTGATATGTGACTCTGAGAAGCTGGAATTGAACCTTCTAATTGTGAGATAATGCTACGTTCACACCGGACGCAGCTTCATTTTTGCTGCTTGTACCAGTTAGTTCTGACGCGCGGCTGAAGCAGCTTTGCTGCTCTGGCTGCGCGGTGAAAAAGTGGGTCTGACACGCGTTGGGCGGAGCTACTCTATCCTTTCTCTGCCTTGCAGCTATATTTGCTGTGATCAGTGGGAATAAAGTAGTTTTAATATGTTTTTAAGTGAGAAAATACACCTGAAAACTTAATCATTGCAGTCAGTTCATCCAGATTTACAATCTCACCTTCCAATATTATTTCTGTCGGAGCCGCTCAGACCCCCACATACCAGCGGTGCGCTGTCAGTAGAAATCCCTTCATCAGCAGCCTCTGGCCGGGTCGCCTCCTCGCGGTTCACCGGCGGCTGGTAGGTGTTTTTCATCTAAATAATCCGATCTGCAGGCACCAGAATAATAAAAGCGAACATATTCTGCCGGCAGATTGCTGCATTTTAAGTTAATTTATGCGTCAATAAACTTTCAGAGGAGTGATCATAGCGCTCTGATCATCAGCGCTGTGTCTCTCTCCCTGCCAGCTCCCAGATCAGCTTCTCTGATTGGTTGACGCGGCGCGTCGAGCAGCAAAAATTAAAATGTTCCATCTCGAGCAACAGCGTGTTTGCGGCGCGTCAGATGCTTAAGTGCGCCCGACACGCTGTTTCAGCTGTTCAGACGCGCTGTGCCTGCTGCTCAACGTGCCGTGGGACCTTTTGCTGCGCCTTGATGCGTATCAACCATTGACTTTGCATGTAAACTCGCTGCTTCTGTCGCGCCAGCTGCCCCCGGTGTGAACGCAGCATAACTCTTCATACAGAGCCACAATTGCTCACCATGGGAATCTGCTGGCTTCAGAATAGCGCTGGGTGATATGGCCTTAAATGGTACTTTCGAGAAAATTATAAAAACATTCTTCAATAATTTTTTGAAGTCGTTCTTGGCTAAATGTGAATGCATGACACAGCAATCAGAGCCCCACAATCACAAACATCACTATTGAAAGAAAATATACATATTTAAAATAGGTATCTTCAGTACACCAGTCACAAAAGTAAGAGTGATTTATATCACAAAACATCTATAGTAATCACATTCAATCATATTCTTCAAATTTGCAAAATGCTTCAATGGGAAAAAAAAAAAGAAAAAGAAAATTATTGATGAATAAAATACATTTTTCACAATAAATGAACTGCAGTGATAGTCTAGTGAAGCACCAGCTGCCATTAAAGGCCACCTTGCTCTTCTAGTCATTTCAGTAGTTAGAAAAGCTCCAGTCAGGCTCATGCTGCCCGATCGAGGTCCTGGGATTTGTTGCAGATCAATCCTGTTGGTTGTGATTTGAACTAGGGCTGCAACTAACAATTATTTTGCAAATCAATTAATCTGTCGATTATTTTCCTGATTAATCGATTAATAATCAGGTAGGCAAAGGTTCCTTAAAGAAGAGTTTTTACAAAATGAAAGTAGGTGAAACTTAAACCTTTCCACTTGAGTGGTTCTGGATAGAGCATACTGACAATTTTTCTTTTCCCATCTTAAATGCAAAATGTTGATATAATTTTTTTAAATTTTTGACATAATTACTGCTGTAAGTGGGCCACTCTGTCAGCTAAAGGCATATTGTAGAGTCTCTACACTCCAGTTAACGATTAATCGATTAATAAATAAGTTGATGATTATTTCAATAGTTCAACAGTTATTAACCTAATAGTTATTTCAATAGTTGATTAACCTAATGTGAACCTTTAGAAGTTTTTTGAATCTAACAAAAAAAACAACTAAATTCAAAGATCAGCCTTAATTTATAAAGCAAAGCACATGTTGCTGAACTCTCTGAACTCGTTTAAAGATGGACCTCCATGGGAGTTCTGGTTTTGGTCGATTGATTGCTGCATCATTACTTGTCATATTCTCCCTCTATATTCAGCTTGCTCGTAGTATACTGCTGCAAAGAACACGCCCGCCCCATTAATGACCCATTGTTCACATGAGGGTCAGGTTAAAAGTCGTGCAATTCTCATTTGACCAAACCATTATCTATCATTTTCAGCTTTTTTTCCAGATTGGTGGCAAATCTGGCCTGTAAAAGTTCTTCTTAACACAGTTTCTCTCCCTCTTTGTGGTTTCATTTCATCCCAGCCTAATGGACTTGTCCTTTATTCCTCTTGGTCAGCTGGATTTCTGCTGGCCTGAATGGGTTTCCCTGGCTGACTGGAAGAGCACTTAGCTTCTCACTTGAAGCGTCTTCATCTTTTCCTGTTCTTCGGTTTCCTGTTTTGCTCTGCAGCACAGTCTTGACAGGGATGTTAATCAGGTTTGCTTTCAACCCTGCCCCTTGTAGAAGAAAAGTCAAATCCACCTTCCTTTGGAATGTAGACATTTGCCTTGATCAATTAAAACTGTATTTTATGTTTCGGTACTAAAAAATATACTTTATTGTGGTGAACTAGATTTACTTTGTGAGTGAAGAGCAGAGGAAGGAGCTCAACCTGATGTTGACCTACAGAAAGATTCAGTGTCAGGAACTTTTAGAATATTTAACAAGTTTCCAACAAGAAGGTTTGGCATTTAGAATAATAATAAAACCTAAAGACCTGAAGACGAACATTATTTGCAAACATTTGGGAAAACAGGAACTTTAAGACTCTTTCTGCTTGAGTTTGCTTATTTTCCTTGTGAGGGTTCTCCCTGGGTAATCCAGCTTCCTCCCACAGACTAAATTATGACTGTTATGTTAATAAGCCTTTAATCAAATCAAATATTTATCTACATAAGATTTAAAAACAAATTCTAAATCCCTAAAGCTGAAGCTTGTTTGAGCTGAACAAGCAGCTGGTTCCACATGTTAGGAGTTTGGTTGGAACAGTCTGACGCCTGGGCATCAAGACACAAACAATCAACGGATCTAGGGGATGCTGCATCACTAGATCTAGATCCCCTAGATATGTTGATTGTTTGTGTCTTGATGCCCAGGCGTCAGGCTGATCCGGTTGGAGAGAGGATATAGAGGTCTGATGGGTACACACCATTGATTCCTAACGAGCCTTGATGCTCCTCAGGTGTAAAAACTAACTAGGGCTACAACGATTATTTTGCAAATTGATTAATCTGTTGATTATTTATTTCGATGAAACAATAATCAAACAACCAATGATTCCTTAAAGAATAATTTTTACAGAAATAAAGATGTGAAAATAAACCTTTTCCACTTGGAGTCCTGGATAGAGCGTATTGACGGATGAAAACATTTTTTAAAGTCTTTAATACAAAATGTATATATTTGTTTACTATTTTGATATAATTTCTGCTCTAAGTGGGTTAAAGGAATAGTACACCCAAAACATGATTAGCCTTCATTTTCTACTCACCCCCATGCTGAACAACACTCTGGAGTACTTTTTTAATATCACAAATGCATCTGGAGATCTGGGAGGCTTCTTGCTGTCTGCTGACATTCAAATAATGGAGGTCTATGGTGACCGAGACAGAAAGGTCC